AAAAGAATTAAGGCTGTTGACATACGAACGAGAAGAAAATAAAGAAGAAACTCGGTAGCTTTCCTTGTCGTTTTGCCGTGGCGGAATAAACTTCAATTCTAAATCTGTTTTCTTTTTAATTATACAATTTGCTCTTATATTGCGGAATTTGCGGGAGTTCTAACAAAATTTTCCTTTTCGTAATTAGAACAAAGCAACCCGCGGCTTCGGACACCAGTAATTAACCAGTCCAGCTGAAATCCCACCGTCTTCTATGAATAGCCGTTATTAGTCCTTTACATGTTACCTTTTCTTCATTTGTATTACGATATAATCTAAAATTTAAGCGAGAAAATTTCGGGTAATTTTGTAGAGTCTGCGACAGATTGACTCAACTCCTTGCTGGAGTTACATTGTAACACAAACGAGAAAAGTTAACCGTGAAAAGGGCTATTCTGTCGCACATACTGTCTTGTTAGTGGCGAAATGAACTACATAATAAATAATAGTTTTTATTGGGATTATCGACCAAGTGTGAGGCCACGATAGCTGGATATTGGCCAGGTCCATAAATATATCACTCAATTATATCACTCAGTAACTCTTAGACTAATACAAAACTAAGGACGATAGATGATGACAGTAGAGCCCGATTAATTGTTCAAGGCAAACTCTGGTAAAACTATCGACAAAGTGAGAAATTGTTTTCTTAAAGATTATAGCCACACGTCAACTGCCATAACTGTCAATTAAGACAAAGTTATATAACGGATAACAACTTTATAGCCCGAAACTGATTAAAACGATACCAACGAATTGCCCAAAATTTTGGAATCGGAACGACGTTTATTATGTTAAACCCATAATTTGTTTTTTCTCGCCGGGAAAACAAAACTATGAACAGTAAATGGACCAAGATTCCAAGTTCCCCTATGAAAGTAGAGTTGCTCGAAACTTTAAGTGAAGAACAAAGAAATTTGTACAAAACACACTAGCTCATACTGGCTTAAAAACCAGGTTACGTAGTCGGGTCCATTCGGTAGGCTTTAACATTATTTGCCGTAACTTTTGTATTCACCATCGCTAATAGGTTGAGGAGACAGCTGGAATGGGAATGTTCTGCTTTTTATCGCAGTTTTCGGTGGACATGACTTCCCTTCTCAGTGTCGAGAGTCAAAACGTGTAACCTAAACAAATTTAAAAGCCCTATGCAAAATAAATGTCGTCCTTTGAAAATAAGTTGGAAAACAAGGCAACAGTACTGAAAGGAGAAAGTAACATACCGGCAAAAGAGCTGGCCCTTGGCATCAAAAAAGACATCAAGGCGAATTGAACAGAACTGACAAAAAAGCTAAACATGCTCGCTAATATTAAACACGTTTCGCGAGGAGTTGAATAAAAAAGCAAAACAATGAAAAACGCTGTAGGACGTTTGCTTTGTGTCACAACGGAGTTTCCTTTTCTTATCGCTTGTTTGGACCAACAGACGTTGCCACGGTTCAAATTATTATTCACTGGTTATTACCATTGGGATAAGATTGTTGTGATTAAGCCTGATCATGATGTGCCGCTATGTCGTAAAAACAATATTTGCACCTTTTTACAAGAAATACAAATTTGTAGTGTGGATATGGGAAGTCACCAAGTGACTATTTGATTTAACTCGTGAAAAAATCGCAATTTTCAATTAAAACAGTTTTCATTTAAAACGTCGACGCTATGTGACATCAGTCAGTCGATTTTAAACAACAAAATGCACCTGCTCTTAAGAAGCAATTCTGCTATAATAATTTTTTTGAAGATCTCAATGTTTTTGATGTGCCACCGCAACTGAAATTGCAATATTTGGGATTTCTTAGGCTCAGAGATGACCTGAAATATGAGAAGAAGTATATATTTAACCAGCGTGAACTGCAATGAAAGGGATATTGCCATTACCTAGCTACAGCTGACGCTGGAAGGGGAAACATGGCATCGAGCTTGGCTTAGCAAAACGTTCTTCCGTAAATCGTCTCGTACAAATAATGGACATGAACGAAGAAAATAACAGTCTATTGAGACATATTTTGTTGTATTCAATTCTTTTGCAACATAATTCGTACAAGAGAAAGGAAAACACCAATGCACAAAAGAGGCATGGATATGACATCAATTTTGAAACAGAACGTCGGATGTGTATTTCACTATATATAGAGCCCCAACGACACAATGCAAATAAGTGAATCATTGTCAATCGTATATCATCTTCACCACGAATATCACCACCGACATCCCATTCAGTATATGGGCTACATAGTTATGTGAGGCCCCAAAGAGTATGGTTTTTCAACCGTTTTGGTAATAAATGGGGTATCGATTTAAGCTGATTTTGGCCATTTTGGTCATGAATAGGGTATGGTCTTTGCACTGTAACCTTGATATGGGTATCTTTTTAACAAGAAGCCACTTTTTTTTTATCATTATCGAAGACTGAGAAAATCAACAAAAGCCATTCACAAATTATGTTTACGGTAATTTAACATTGGTCTGAACTAGGAAACCAATTATAACGCAGGTCTGAAACAGAGTTTTGATTTAAGCGTTAGGTCATAAATAGGGTTTCGAATTTTTGGTGAGGTCATAAATAGGGTAGGGAATATCGCAGATTTTGGTCATAGATAGGGTAAGCGTTTTGGGAAGCGGGCTGCACACCCTCCCCAATTTTTCTGGGAGTACCTTCCCCCCCCCCCCCCCCTTAGCCTAGGCAGGAGATCGCAGAGCAGACCACGAAAGAGGCTGAATAAACGCGCATAAATAGACAAGGGAGTCCCAAGCTCTATTGATTTAGGTAGCGCTTCCACACTACGCCGGAGAAATTTGAAAGCGCAGCTTTATTTCTACGCTTTAGCCTAACGTAACATCTTGGCTGGATGTAAAGCCAATTTCTAGAGACTATTCACCATATCTTATTTAAAATTTTCAAAATCTTTAAAATTGACTCAAAATAGCATTCAATAGACAAAACAGGTCGTATTTTGTTTTTTGTTCGCGTGATGTACGAGTCCATCACTTACGTTCCCTTGTGGGGTCATGAGACTTCTCAAACGTTTTTGGTTGGGCTCACAAAGCAGTATTCTCCCCCGAGCATCATTTCTTAAATGTTCGTCTTTTAACGTAATACCATAATTTAAGGGTCGACTGTTTGTTTATATAATAATAATAATAATAATAATAATAATAATAGTAATAATAATAGTTACTTGTTGACAAAGATAAACCAACAAACTAAAAACTACCACCACCTTGATAAAATTTACAGCTCGGACAGACAACTTTCATTTTATGTTTTCTCTTAAATCCTTCATAAATCCAGTTATCTCGACCACATTTTGATGCCCCAATTTTCTATGGGGCATCAAAATTGGGCACTAATTACTAATTGGGCAGTAATCACTAATTGTTCTCAGACTTAAACAACGTTTTGTCGCCTAAACATCACCAATGGAATGATCACATCACTTTCAATTTCTATGGCAACCATAATTATTTTCTTAGAGTGTTTCAAAAAATGTTGCGTTCTTTGCGCTTGAATATATGTTTTTTGTAAGCTTCTTGATTTTTGCGTTCGACGAAGTGGAACGCAAACCTAATTTTGACCTGTGGCTTTTCAGAGTTCGTCTTACTGTGCACGGTTCTAGGCCGAAAAAAACCACATTCCTGTAAGGACACCAAAATGGCCACCCTGCTTGATTTTTCCAGGGGCATGTCACGGCTAGTAAACTGGTACCGTTTAATGCTAAGACGTGTGATAAGACGTGGGGAACATGTGAGTATTTGAGCAGGCTATGTGAGCTCGTCTTTCCAATGGATCTTTTTTTTGACTTCTTTCCATTCAGTCGCCATACGCCTCGCTATTATGTGCTCTCAGCGTTAG